GAAAGAGTGAAAGAAACATTAACTGGTAACCTGGGTATGTGTCCTGAATAGGAATCAAACTAGTGATCTTTCAGTGCATGGAACTGTGCTCACAATCAACTGAGCTACACTGGCTACGGGAAGTGTGTATATTTTCACAGGATCAAATTTAAAATATATTTTAATGTGACCAAATGTCTCCATGGACATTTTGGACAGGACCAAATGACTTGGAACCATAATTAGGGATAAGAATTTTTAAGGGTTATGTTTATAGCTGCTTAAGGACTTGGCTCCGGCACACAAAATATTCTAGTCATCACAAACAGGTTCCATGTCATTTACTTTATTGAAAAATCACTTTGTAGTTTGACTAAATATAACAACTCATTAGCGAAAAGCTTGGCTCAGGCTGTCACTCCCATGCACGCTACAAATGGCATCTCCTGTGAGGGCGTGGGGGCCTTTTGTGATGCTCAAGGGCTCAGTTTCCTTCACCTAAAATAATGTGTCCACCTTCTAAGGAAGTTCGGAAATGGAGAGGTGTGTACTTCTTTCCCTTTCCTCAACCCTGCTAACTGGCATCAGGGAGAATAAGATATTTGGTCTTCACATGTTAATTTTGAGATATCTCAATATTATATCAATATATTGAGGTATCTCAATTATATGTATTTTTGTCTAGGTTCCCCAAGAAGTAGATTTTTGAGGTAAAGATTGGAGAACAAATGTGTTTATTCAGAAGTCAAAACAGGACACATCAGTAAGATTTTTCGGACAGAAGGCAGGGAAATGCTGGGAATGAATGACCTGTGTTTTCTAGCAGATTAGTTACCACTGTGGTTAAGTGGAGTTCACTCCTTAGTGAGACTCTGAAGGTAGTGTGCTACATAGGTCAGATTTATCCTACTCTAAATGCAGGGAGCTGGCATAATCACATACCAACCCTCATAAGTCAATGAGTGAGAGGTGACCACAGATGTGTGGACTTTCGTTTGCTTCTGACACTCTGTGTATATGGGCACAGTATTCAGAGAAAGTCCTTTAGCAAACAGTTACTGATCCTGGCAGTTGGAAGTTGAGCTCCATGTACTGAAAGGTAGAGGCCAAAAAGATTTGAGCAGGACATGAAAGTACTCTGTGGGAGGGGGGATTGTGGGAGTGGGGATATATCACGAATCTGGAATTCAGAAACAAGGATTAGAGATACAAATTTATAGTCATTGATGTAAACTGCAATTGAAATTCATGAGAATGGATAAGATCACTGAGGGAAATAGAAAAGAGAACTGTACATTTAGTTCCAGCACCAAAATAACAAATGAAATCAATAAAACAAACCCATAAGGAACAAGAAATGATAAAGGAGAAGCAAGAAAAGAGTGTGATATCATTGGAGCCAAGTTTTTAACAGCAGATCAAGAAAGAAAGGGTACTTAGGAAGCATTAATGAGTATTATCTGCTACTATTATTCCTCTTTTCATTCCTTCATTCGTTGAATTGATTATATTCTGCTGATTCTGAAAAAAAGGATGGAAAATAAAGGAGTAATAAGCCATACTAAATGCTGCTGACATGGGAATAAAAAATGAGATGTGAGATTCCACTCATATTTTGAAAAGAAAACCCAATTGGCAGTCCTAGGTGGCTCTTGCCCTTACAAGCAGGTATTGCAGTACCTCCCTCTGGGGTATATTCTGAGCAGCAACCTAGTAGTGAATTCTAGGAGTCTGAAAACAAAACTCAATTGACAGTCCCGGAGGGCTGTGACTCCTGCAAGGAGTTAAAAGAAAAGCCTATGGAGATAACATTGGCAAATACATTCTCACATGCAGTGGCCTTCTTATTGTTTCATCGATGGTTTCTTTTGCAGTGCAGAACCTTTTTATTTTGATGTAGTCCCATTTGTTTATTTTCTCCTTAGTTTCCATTGCCCTGGGAGCTTTGTGGGTAAAGATATCTCTATGACATGTCTGCTACTTTGCTGCTTATGGCTTCTTCTAATATTTTTATGGTTTCTCATCTTACTTTTAAGTCCTTATCCATTTTGAGTTTATTTTTGTATATGGTGTAAATTGGTGGTCTAGTTTCATTTTTTTTGCATATATCTTTTTAATTTTTTCCAACACCATTTATTGAAGAGACTGCCTTGACTCCATTGTATGCTCTTGCCTCCTTTGTCAAATATTAATTGAGAGTAGTGGCTTTGGTTGATTTCTCGTTCTATTCCATTGGGCTATATGTCTATTGTTGGGCCAGTACTAGGCAGTTTTGAGAACAGTGGCTTTGTAATATAGCTTAATATCAGGTATTGTGATTCCTCCAACTTTGTTCTTCTTTCTCAGGATTGCTGCAGCTCTTCATGGTCTTTTTTAAATTCCATATGAATTTATGCAGATTTTGTTCTAGGTTTGTGAAATTGCTGTTGGTATTTTAATGGGGATCACATTGAATGTATAGATTGCTGTGGGTAGTTTGGACATTTTAATGATGTTGATTCTAACAATCCATAATCACATTATATTCTTCTATTTGTTTATGTCTTCCTCTATCTCTTTATTCAATGTCCTGTAGTTTTCCAGGTACAGATCTTTACCTCCTTAGTTAAGATTATTCCTAGGTATCTTAAATTTTTTTGTTGCAATGGTAAATGGGGTTATTTTTTTAGTTCCCCTTTCTGTGAGAAATACTCTAAGATTTCACTATTGGTGTATAAAAAAGCCATATATTTCTGGGTGTTAGTTTTGTATCCTGCTCTATTGCTAAATTCATTAAGTGTAGTAGTTTTTTGATGGAGCCTTTAGGGTTTTCTATGTAGAATATCATGCCATCAGCAAATAATGACAATTTACTTCTTCCTTTACAATATGGATGCCTTTTATTTCTTCTTGTCTGATCACTATGGCTAGCACTTCCAGTACCCTGTCGAACAGGAGTGGTGAAAGTGAGCATTCCTGTCTTATTCCTGTTCTTCGGGGAAATGGTTTCAGTTTTTGCCCATTGAATATGATGTTGCCTATAGGTCTGTCATATATGGCCTTTATCATAGTCTCTATTCCTTTCTCTATTTCTGCCTCTTGTGGCACATCTGCTATTCCAATATTGTTATGTTTTAATATGTTCCACACTCCCTTAAGCTTTCCTCCTGTTTTTTAATAATTTGTTTTCTATTTGGTTCTCTGATTGATTGATTTTTTCAACTCTTTCTTCTAATTGAAAGATTCAATTCTCAGCTTCCCCTAATCTGTGGTGTATTCCTTCAAATGTTCTCTTTTTTTATTTTAATCATTTAACTTTAAACCAACACATCCAACATTTAATTATTTCAACATGCAATCAATAGTTTATAGAATTAGTCAAGCAAGTTTGCATTTTTTTTTCAAGTCTTCCAAATCTGGTGCATAGTTTTCATTTAGAGACCATCTCAACATGGACTGGCCACATTTCTTTTTTATTATTATTTATTTATCTTTTTTTTATTAGTTAAGGTATTACAGATGTGTCTTCATCCCCCTAAATATATCTTCTTCACAAATAAAATTCCTTGGGGTTAATAGCATGCTTTAAATATCTTAATTTTT